CTCAGCTCCGTGCGGTGTGATGATACTTCCTCAAGCGGATGCCCTGGGCACATTCTGGACTCGCCTCTGTCACTTCCCGCCTCCGGGCCCTTGGCTCTGTCCTCTGAATAGATCCCAGCTCTCCGTGCCGGCCGCCTGTTTCTGCCTGCCTTTCTGCCTCTGGGTGCCCCCTGCTTCTGCCCCGCCCTGCTCCCTCCCAGCCCCGGCCCGCCTCACCCCCATCGCTCCTCGCTGGGTGCAGCGCCCACCCGTGGGACCTCCCACCCTCTCGAAAGTGGCCTTGGAGGCCACATTTACGTGACCTGCCTGAGCCAGGGCTGCTCGCACCAGCTCCTAGCAGTTATGGCTGCTGGTTTGTCATTATCAGCCGTTACTTTTGTTACTACTGATTACCTAGGTGACCAGCAGTTACTTTTGTCTTCACTGGTGATAGTCCTTGTTACGATCGGTTACTTTTGTTGCCACGGATTTCTTTTCTTCTCATCACCACTGGTTACTTTTGTTACTAGGGTCACTCAATACCAGGGGCCGGTACTCCCTGAGCCTCACATTCTGTCCCAGGGCAGGGTGGTCCCAGCTGGGGTTCTAGGTGTTATCGGGACTTAGCTGACAGCTGTCACTTTTGGAGGATGATGTAGTGGCATCGTGTCTATGGGGTCTTGAATTCCATCCCGTGTGATCTCTGGGTTGCGTTCTCCCCCAGACAGATGAGAGCTCTGGTTTCGGGTTTAGCTGGCTGTGTGGTGAAGTCTTGGTCAGGGAGAGGGACCCGGACGGGCTCCTGGGCCTGCCAGGGAGGCCAGAAGGCGGAGCACATCTATGGTGTTCGGGGCAGGCATGAGTTTCTGGAGGCAGCAGGCTGGGCAGTGGCCAGGGGTCACGGGGCAGGGATCTGGCTCTTCTGTGGCAGATGCCCGCCGGCTGGGGCACGTATTGGGAGAGGGTGCTGTCTTTGCTGTAGCTCCGTGAGCCCCACTCCCACAGCAGTGCGCCGGCCCCTCGGCCACTGAGAGGCGCCACAGTCGTTGACTTCTACACGGGGCCCAGCTGTCTGGTACTTTGTCCTGGGCTGTGTCTTCTGTGCACCCGTGGGGCTGACCTGGGGATGGTGAGTGGGGCCAGCTCCTGCTGAGTTCTGGTGTCTCCTCGGGCCCTTGGCTGGTAGGCAAGAACATCACCAGCAGGCCCTGGTCTATAAATTGGGCAGAGAGGCACCCCCAGGCCCCTGCTGGAGCTCAGAACCATTTGGAGCATCTTGGGGAGTGGGGAGGGGGTCAGAGCCAAGGGACACAGTGACAGGCCTGGCCTCCTGACTCCCCTTGTAGTGCCCCTTCCGGGATCCTGGACCCAGGTGTTTCCCTGGGATGAGCGGTGGGTCTCCTGTGGAGTCACGCCCAGGAGCCGTACCTGCCTGGGCCCTCTCTCCTGCCCCGGCTTCTGTCGGACCTCCGGCCAGGCTCAGCCTCGCTCACGCCTCCCACCCTCTAAGAGGGTGGGTGAAGCCGCCTTTACCCAGCATCCTAGCCGCGAAGTTACCTTCTATCCCCCCCAGGATCCCGGGAGCTTGGCCTGCAGAGATAGGGGCTGCAGGTGTTGGGGGGCAGCGAGGAGCCCCTGTGTCTCCCTGCGCAGGCTCTCCCATAGGGCCGGAGGCCCGGAGACGCGGGGTCTGGTCGCCGAGCGTTGGGCGGGGGCCAGGCTGGTTCCCTGGGCCTTGGTCATCCATTTCTTCGTCAGGCAAGTGTTTGGGGCCCCTCCTGGGGCTGTAGGCTGGGAGGCCAGGGCCCTTCGAGACACAAGCCTTGTGACAACTTAGAGCACCGTGCAAAGAGAAAGCATTGGCGAAGGCAGGGGGACCAGGGGCGAGTCCCGGGGCTGCGGTCCAAATGGAGTTAGCCGGCAAGTACCGGAGGAGGCAGTGAAGCCAGGGCCCGGGGGCGGTGCTGCGCCCCAAGAACGCGCCGGTCAGCCTGGGATCCTGGGAGCGGGGGCGGCGGCAGGGGCGGCGCAGGGGGCAGGGCTGGTTCCTCCCATTCTGGTCCCTTCCGGTTTTGTTGCTAGCGGACCCCGTCCTTGCTGCCCTTACTGGGACAGGGGCTGGCTTGGGGTGGGCCTCCCCTAGGGGTCTCACCCATCTCCTCTCTCCCCAGGCCAGGACGACGGGGTCCCGAAACTGGCGAGCCGCGCGCGACACACGCAGGTACCGGCACCACTACCCGGTACGTAGCCGCCTCGGCGCCCGCACACCTCGGCAGCCCGCCCGGGACGGAGTCTCCCGCCCTCCGCCGGGAGAAGGCCATCGGGACAAGACGTCCCGTCACCCCCCTCCTCAGACGAGGTCCCATGGCCCCCCTGGGACTGCGGCTCCTTCCCCCCCGGGGGAGGGGGGTGAGGAGGACCGCCTCTGCCTCGGAGCCTTTAGAGCAGGGGAGCAGCGCCAGCTAGTGGCGGAGCCACATGTGGCCCCGTGTGTCGGTCCGCGGGTCGGGGCCCATGTCGGTGGCGTTCCCGTGGCCCTCGCCCCTGCCCTCTGCACCGTGAGTGTCAGCCAACCCCTAGGCTACTTTAGGGGTACAGATGGAGGGGACCTGCCGCCCGGCCCGCGCTGGTGAGGAGGGAAGGTGGCGGTCAGAGGGAGCTGCTGTCCTCCCAGTGCGGAGGCTGGTCCTCGCCTGCAGGGCGAGGGGCCCCGGCTGGGGACTCGGGTCTTCGCCAGCCTTCAGGATGTCGAGGCTCAGGGGCCCAAGAGCGGACGCCCGCTCCCCGAACGTTCTAGTGTGAGGGGCCCTCGGAGGCAGCCTATTTCTGGAGATGTCTCCACCGGCAACTTTCTCTGGCTCTTCAGGATTTGATAGAACGGGATGGCAACGGTGACATGCCAAACCTGAGTTTCTACAGAAACGAGATCCGGTTCCTGCCCAACGGTGCGCGTCTGCTGGGCCGCCTGCGCCCTGTCCCGGGGGGCGTCTGTGGCCCCACTAGGACCCTGTTGGGGACGGCTTCCTGTTGGGCCCGCGGTTTTCGGCTTGCCCCGCAGCGCCCCCTGCAGGCTGCTGCGGGGACGCCCTGGGAAGGGCCGTGTCGCTCACTACTGCTGCCTTGGTGGGAAAGCCGCACGTGTAAACTGGCGAGTAAGAGTGATTGTTCCATTTCCAAGTGGTTGGAAACAACTCAAGGTGGAAAATGTTCTGTGATGTGAAAGTGACACGAAATTCAACTGTGAGCGTCCATAAGGGAGAGTCCGTGGGAAGCCACCCACGCACATTCGTTCAGGCGTGGCCGCCTTCCCACTACAACGCAGCACAATTGCAGCAGAGGACACGTGGCCTCAGAGAGTCACTGGCCCTTGGAAACAGTGGCCGCCCTACAGGAGGCCAGGCCATGGGGGGTGGGGCTCCGCTGGAGGTTCTGTCTGAGGTCGGGTTCCAGCGAACCAGCTGTGGTTTGGAGGGGGCAGTGAGGCCCCCTTTCTGCAAAGGCAGGTGGGGGTCTGGGACCCCATGTCCTCCTGGGCCCTCCGGCCCGACGAGCCCAGCGTGGCCCTTCTCACTCGGGTCTGTGCTCAGGCAGCAACGGAGAGCCCGTGTCGGACTGCAAAGAAACCGAGGGCTTCGGTTGGGGGGTTACTGTCACATGACACAGACACAAGCTTCAGAGCCCCGAGGTCCTCAACAGAGGAGGGGAGGGAAAGTGGGGGGACTTCTAGCAGCTCCTCACTGACTTATCCCCGTGGGGCCCCCAGGCTGTTTCATTGAAGACATTCTTCAGAACTGGAGGGAGGACTACGACGTCCTGGAAGAGAATCACTCCTACATCCAGTGGTGAGTGGGCGGGGCTTACCGAGCAGGCGCCCTCGGCGGGGCGGGGCTTACTGAGCAGGGGCCCTCGGCGGGGCGGGGCT